GAAAATCACATGATTACAGAACACAATTAAGAACAGTAAAAATAAATAAATAAATCAAAAATAAAATAATAACAGATGTATCCGGGCGCAGTCCGGGCCGCCGCCACCGGGGGGCGACCCGGCGGACGCGGGCAGCCTATCCGACGCGCGCCGGATAGGCCGCGGGCGGGCTGCCGCGGGGCGCGCCCGGCGTCCCCCTAACCGCCTTTCGGGGGGATCCCCTGACCGCGCCCACCGCGGGGCCCCGCCCACTGACCGCGAACGGCCTATCCGTCCCCCTGACCGCCTACGTGACCGCGGACCGCCCGTTCGTCCCCCTGACCGCCTACGTGACCGCCTACGTGACCGCGAAAGGCCTACGCGTCCCCCTGACCGCCTACATGACCGCGGACGGCCTACTCGTCCCCCTGACCGCCTACGTGACCACGAACCGCCTATTCGTCCCCCTGTCCGCCTACGTGACCACGAACCGCCTATTCGTCCCCCTGACCGCCTATGTGACCACGAACCGCCTATTCGTCCCCCTGAACGCCTATGTGACCACGAACCGCCTATTCGTCCCCCTGACCGCCTATGTGACCACGAACCGCCTATTCGTCCCCCTGACCGCCTACATGACCACGAACCGCCTATTCGTCCCCCTGACCGCCTATGTGACCACGAACCGCCTATTCGTCCCCCTGACCGCCTATGTGACCACGAACCGCCTATTCGTCCCCCTGACCGCCTATGTGACCACGAACCGCCTATTCGTCCCCCTGACCGCCTACGTGACCACGAACCGCCTATTCGTCCCCCTGACCGCCTACGTGACCACCAACCGCCTATTCGTCCCCCTGTCCGCCTACTTGACCACGAACTGCCTATTCGTCCCCCTGACCGCCTGCGTGACCACGAACGGCCTATTCGTCCCCCTGACCGGCTACGTGACTAAGAAAGGCCTACGCGTCCACCGCCAATCTAGGTGACGGCCCGGGGACCCGACCACTGACCACGAACTGCCCACTCGTCCCCCTGAACGCCTATGTGACCACGAACGGCCTATTCGTCCCCCTGACGGCCTATGAGACCACGTCCCGTCAAATGAGTTACGGGTGGAATGCTGTTTTACGTTTTGAAGTCATGACTGATAAAAATGCATAAAAATAATCAAATATCGATTTTACGTCAATCCCCGGGCCCCCCTGAGCGATCTGCAACCTTCAGAACCCCGGGACTCCGCTGTCCACGAACGGCCTAAATTTTTGAATGGGATAAGTTGCAGGTGGGACGTCCAGATCTCAGCCTCTGGACAGAATTTGGATATGAGACCTGCGCTCCTGCGCTCCTCTGGACATGCCCTACCCATGGTGTGAATTTGGAAGAGATTGGAGAAACTTGAAAATTCGACCAAAAAAAAAAAAAAACCTCAAAGGGGTACCCCTTTGAGATTTTTTGGGTCAAATTTTCAAGTTTCTCCAAACTCCCTGAAATTCACTGCACTGCCTGAGCACGTCCAGATGAGCGCAGGAGCGCAGGTTTCAGCTCCGAATTCTGTCCAGAGGCTGAGATCTGGACGTCCCACCTGCAACTTATCCCATTCAAAAATTTAGGCCGTTCGTGGACAGCGGAGTCCCGGGGTGTTGGGGTACTTTACAGTTCACAATGACTCATAACCAGCCTTAAAATGACACGTCCACGAACAGCTTACAGGGACCCTGTCAAATAAGTTGCAGGTGGGCACAAGAGAGTCCCAATGGGACTACATATTGTGCCCACCTGCAACTTATTTGACAGGGTCCCTGTAGGCTGTCTGTGGACAGTCCATTTTTAGGCTAATAACACACAATCAATGGCTCTACCGTACACCGGTGTGTTGTATAGTGACGCCTGTGAGCAGTGGACCACATATAACCGCTGTGTTTATGTAATACGAGCTTTTAAGGTGCTGTCCACGAACAGCCTATAGGGACCCTGTCAAATAAGTTGCAGGTGGGACAGCACCCCACCCGCAACTTATTTGACGGGACCTCGGGGACCTCAAATAAGTTGCAGGTGGGACAGCATCCCACCTGCAACTTATTTTACGGGACCTCTTTAGGCTGTTTGTGGTCAATGCATTATTAGGTCATAATTCATGATTGTTAGTGGTTTATTACTTGAAACTTGCAGCACAGTGGACAGGGGAGACAATGCAACATGTTGGGGTACTTTACAGTTCACAATGATGCATAACCAGCCTTAAAATGACACGTCCACGGACAGCTTACAGGGACCCTGTCAAATAAGTTGCAGGTGGGCACAAGAGAGTCCCAATGGGACTACATATTGTGCCCACCTGCAACTTATTTGACAGGGTCCCTGTAGGCTGTCTGTGGACAGTCCATTTTTAGGCTAATAACACACAATCAATGGCTGTACCGTACATCAGTGTGTTGTATTGCGACGCCTGTGTGCAGTGGACACCATATGAGCACTGTATTTGTGAAATATGACCTTTTAATGTATTGTCCACAAACAGCCTATAGGGACCCTGTCAAATAAGCCATAGTTGGTATGTTCTGGTGAAATAGATGAGACAGTCATAGTTTGAACAATTTTTTTAATTATTATTTATTATTTAAACATGATTGAACTGCTTTAATTAAGTATATTTATAAAATCACCTGATTTAAACATAATTAAGTATATTTCGAAAATCACATGATTACAGAACACAATTAAGAACAGTAAAAATAAATAAATAAATCAAAAATAAAATAATAACAATATAAAAATGTGGATTAATATAAATATAAAACTATTACATCAAATATTTAAAATATACACAGTATTAAATTAAACTATTTACAAATTAAACAATTGACTCAAGTCCAGAGTCGTGAGGTCTGTGTGCCATTGGCAAATGAAAAAAAGGAAAGGGGAAACAAACAACAACAATTCATTAATAATAACACAACAAAACTTGGTTTCGTGTATGTAAACTTATGACCTATTGCTTACCTTGTGGTCGTGAAAAAAATTGTTCACGCTGTCGTTCCTCTTTTTCTATTTGTTTGAACAAATCGTCTAAGAACAATAAAAAAAACATTATTTTTGTATGTATATATTTATATATTAATGTCCTATTCATGACAACAAAGTACAAGTTTAAACAATTGTTCACCTGATACCTACCAAATGCTTGCACCTCCTGGTCAGCCTCACTTGCCATCAGTAGCTCTAGAATGAAAAAAAGAAAGAAGATATTAATGTATTGTTCTTGTATAAAGAATATAGCATAATTACATGTTGATCACTTACCCAGAAAGCTGGGAGCTGTCTCCATTTCAAAAATCTTCTACAATAGACACAAACACACACACAAGACTCAATAGTTTGTTCAACATCTTGTAAAAAAAATGTCATATTCCCATTGCAAACAAAAAAAAAATCATTCAAAACCTACCCAGCAGTTGGAGGCATTCAGGTGGAACAGCCACAATGCTCTGAACACATGGGTGATCAGGGCTCCGTGGCTGCTCTCCTCCTTCATCCGGAGCTGACGAGATTGGAGGGTCAAGTTGTTGACCATCCCTCAGTTCTTCAAGCTGTCTCTCTGCTACCTCCTTTTCCAGTCGTCTGGTCAACAACTTGATCCTCTTTCTCTGAAAAGAGAGTTTTATTCAAAACATTTTTTGAATGAATTCAATAAAACAAGAACGCTAGTTTGAGATTATACTTACCGTCAGCTCTGGATGGCCCGATATAAAATGCCTCTCGACATTTTCATACACCACCCCGCACTCTGGGCAGCCCAGGTTCCTCAACCTAATGCGGCCCCTCGCCAGTCGCAGCAGGATCCTCCTCTCCTCCCCGTTCACGATGCCATGCTGCGACCGGAGGTGATGCCGCAGGTGACGAACCTGGGCCGGGCAGAGGGGGCACGTCAGCAGCATCTTTAAAAACAAAATGGCAACAAAGTTAGTTCACACAGGTGGGCGCGGAAAGGGCCCACCTATAACTTATTTGACTGGACCTCTTTAGGCTGTCCGTGGTCAATGCATTAATAGGTCATAATTACAGGTCATGGGTTTCACAACAGGTTATAACAGGTAAAAGATATATAAATGTTTTATTATTTTTTTAATTTTAAATAAAAAAAAATAAATACCTGTAACAATGGTTCCAGCCTGACCGTGGAAAGCCTATTCAGTTGTGGCTGGGATGATCCACTCCATTTACAGGCAAGTGTACATTAAATTACTTTAAATTGCACTCCATTTTTCGGTAAGTGTACATTAAATTACCTTAAATTACACTCCATTTTTAGGTAAGTGTACATTAAATTACTTTAAATTACACTCCATTTTTAGGTAAGTGTACATTAAATGACTTTAAATTACACTCCATTTTTAGGTAAGTGTACATTAAATTACTTTAAATTGCACTCCATATTTAGGTAAGTGTACATTAAATGACTTTAAATTGCACTCCATTTTTAGGTAAGTGTACATTAAATGACTTTAAATTGCACTCCATATTTAGGTAAGTGTACATTAAATGACTTTAAATTGCACTCCATTTTTAGGTAAGTGTACACTAAATTACTTTAAATTGCACTCCATTTTTAGGTAAGTGTACATTAAATTACTTTAAATTGCACTCAATTTTTAGGTAAGTGTACAGTAAATTACTTTAAATTGATCTCATATTATTATAACATTATATTACCTGATGTTGGACCCCATTTACAGGTAAGTGTGCATTAAATTACTTGATGTTGGACCCCATTTACAGGTAAGTGTGCATTAAATTACTCGATGTTGGACCCCATTTACAGGTAAGTGTGCATTAAATTACTCGATGTTGGACCCCATTTACAGGTAAGTGTGCATTAAATTACTCGATGTTGGACCCCATTTACAGGTAAGTGTGCATTAAATTACTCGATTTTGGAGCCCATTTACAGGTAAGTGTGCAGCAAATTACTTGATTTTGCACCCCATTTTCGGGTAAACGTACGGTTAGAGGCTCTGGGCATGCGAGTGGACCCCAGTCAGTCCGCACCAGACCTTCCAGCGAGCGAGTCCATCGTCCGGGCACCTGCAAAAATGCCAGCGGAAACCTGCCCACTCTGTCTGCAGTCGTACGCCCGGCTCGGGCAGCACCTGGTGGTCACCCACTGCGTCAAGAACCCGGAGGAGAGGAAGCTGCTCCTTGCCATGGAGTCGGGGCGAGTGAACGCCCGTGCAGGCCTCTGCCCGCTTCCTGCGTGCGGGAAATTCTCCAACAGGCTCGACCGCCACATCCGCACCCACTCCGAGGTCACGGCGGGGATGCAGGACGAAGCGCTCCGCTACTGCAAGAGGAGGGTGTGCCTCGAAAAGCTGACTGCCCTGAGGGCCTCCGACCCCGCTCCTCCGATGGTGTCCACCCTCGACCTGGAGCAGCAGCAGTTCATCGAGGAGGACCCGTCCAACCCCCAAGACCCAGAGACCCTGGAGGAGGAGGAGTGCGACAAGCAGGGCTGCAAGAACGTCAAGGAGCTCCTCAGGAACCAGGTGGTCGACCTGAGCAAGCAGGTCGACACCCTCAGCGAGACCCTTCGGACGGTCACCCGGAGGTATCGCATCCTGAAGAGGAGGTCGACCTCCTTGGGCTCGGTCCGAATCGGGCGGGCGGCCAAAAGGCTCCTCTCCTCCCTGGGTCCGGAGGAAGAGGAAGGCGCCCCCGTGGAAGAAGACGTCAAGTCTTCGCCGGAGGCCACCTCCACCCCTCAGCAGCAGTAGCAGCAGCAGCAGGCGCCCCGATCCTCGTCCGAGGAGAAGACTCCGGAGGGGGGCGAAGAAGAGAAGCCTTCCACCAGCCAGCAGCCGGAGGACCCGGGGGAGGAGCAACCCCACTACCCCGACCACGTGGGCGCGCCAAGTGAGTGTGACGCTTTCGCCCCTTTTCTCTTTTTGACCCGTGGTCGTGCTAACGCTAACGCTTTTCTCTCTCGTCCCTCTCTCTCTCTCTCTTTTGTTTTTTCTTTCGCAGACGAGATCGTGGAGGAGTACAGGCGCCACAGGGAAGGCCCGGACCCCGGCACCAAGCTGAAAGAGAACGTCGGCTGCCAGGTGTACCGGATCAAGAAATTTTTGGCGGCCATGGCGAGGGGAAAACAGAACTTGGCGGACTTCCGTTTCCTGGACGACACGGCCAGGATACACGGGTGAGTGACGCGTCCCCCGTCGCGGGCACGGCCTCTTGAGCGAGCTCTGCCGCCTCTCTGACGGTTTTTGTCTCTGTTTTCGCAGCTGGGTCAGCTCCCTCCGGCGGGCGAAGATGACCGTGACCACCATACAGCACTACGTCCTGAACGTGGGATGTTTCATGCGTTTCCTGTCAGAGACCCCTCCGCAGTCCTGCCGCTTAACAAAAAAAGCCCTGGTCGGCCTCCGCAGGGAGATGGGGGCGCTCCGCAAATCTATGAAGTGCAGGGAACTCGCCGCCAAGGCCATCCCGGACCTTTTGAGTGAGTGGTCTTTCGTCCCCTCCCCGCGCCTCTCGCCCGCCGGCCGACGGACCTTTGAACTTTGTGCTTTTCTCTCCTCTTTAGCCCTCCTGGAGAACGAGCCCACGCAGAAGACCCTGTGGAGGCTCTACGGGCACTTTGCGGCGCTGCTCGCCTCCGTTTACGGCCACAGAGGGGGGGTTCTCCAAAATATAACCATGCAGGAGGTTCTGGGGGCCCGCAAGTCGACCTCGGAGAAGGCGTACCTGATAAACGTGAGCGTCCGACTCTTCTCTGCCCGATTGTGTTTTTGTGTGGACTTTTTTTTTTTTAAATTGATTTTTTTTTATTGATTGATTTATCCATCTATTTTTATTTCTTCCCCTCGTGTGTCCACAGGTGGCCAACCACAAGACGAACATGGCTTTCGGGTCGGCCCAAATCGTCTTGACGGAGGAGGAGTTCGGTTGGGTGAATCGACTCCTCCGAGTCAAAGATGAGCTTCCCGGCGGAGCCTCGGCCAAGTTCCTGTTTTTTACCTCGACCCCGAACCCATGCAAAAATCTAAATTCCTACTTCCAAGAGGCCTGGATGTCCATGGGCCTTCCCGGGTGCCCCACCTTCACGGACGTCCGCACGTCCATCGCCAGCCACGTAAGCGTCCGTCGCCGCTTCCGGCACGCGTTTCGGAGGTCCTCCGCCGGTGGCGCCATTGGTTTTTTACTCTTCTCTGTCTCTGTCTTCCCAGATAAAATTCACCCACTCCAACGACGACCGGGTCAAGCTGTCAAAGTTTATGTGCCACGACACAAGGACGGCGGACAAGTTTTATGTGGCCAACTTGACCCCCCAGCAGGCCATGGAGCACCGGAGGCTCTTCGACACCGCCCTGGAGGGCGAAGAGAGGGGCTCCCCGTCGAAACAGCCGACCTCACTCAAACGCAAGCGGCCCGCGAAGGGGAAGGAGCCCCTCAAGAAGAAGAGGAGAGCTCCAGAGTCCTCGGACGAGGAGATGACTTCGGGCAGCACGACTCCAGAGGCGACCAAGAGCCCGGAGTACCAGGAGTCGGGGACGTCCAGCCCCGACTCCAGTGGGGTGAGTTGGCTTTTTCCTTTGACCGCAGAGTTACGACATCCCTCTTGGGACATCACAACCGATGACTTACCTTGTCTTTGTGTGTGTGTGTGTGTGTGTGTGTGCAGCACGAGGAGGAGGAAGAGGAGGAGGCCGAGTCAGGCGCAGCGGCGGTGGGATCCCAAGAGGAGGAGAAGGCCGAGTCAGGCGCAGAGGCGGTGGGATCCCAAGAGGAGGAGAAGGCCGAGTCAGGCGCAGAGGCGGTGGGATCCCAAGAGGAGGAGAAGGCCGAGTCAGGCGCAGAGGCGGTGGGATCCCAAGAGGAAGAGGAGACGACCACCCCAAAAAAGTACCCGCGGCGGAGAGGGAAAGCTACGGTGCTCCTGACACCTCTAAAATGTTTGTCGTCGACCCAAAGGCACGTTTCCCCACTAAAAGTTAAGAAGGCCATCTTTTCCCCCACCTCCACGACCCTCGTCGGCCTGACACGCCAAAAGGAGGTCTCCAAGAAGGTGAAGGAGGCCATAAAGAAGCGCAGGCAGCGCAAATAGACGTTAAAAACGTCGAGTTCGTGTTACGAGCGTTCGTGAGTGTTTGTTCCAAAAAAAAAAAAACTGTTCAAGTGTTCAAGTGTGTTTATTGTTAATAGTTCAAGTCAGTTAAAGTGTGTGTTTTTTTAGAGAGTGTTTGTTCAAAAAAAAAAAAAAAAAAAAAAAAAAAACTGTTCAAGTGTGTTTATTGTTAATAGTTCAAGTCAGTTAAAGTGTGTGTTTTTTAGAGAGTGTTTGTTCAAAAAAAAAAAAAAAAAAAAAAAACTGTTCAAGTGTTCAAGTGTGTTTATTGTTAATAGTTCAAGTCAGTTAAAGTGTGTGTTTTTTTAGAGTGTTTGTTCAAAAAAAAAAAAAAAAAAAAAACTGTTCAAGTGTGTTTATTGTTAATAGTTCAAGTCAGTTAAAGTGTGTGTTTTTTTAGAGAGTGTTTGTTCAAAAAAAAAAAAAAAAAACTGTTCAAGTGTTCGATTTTTTAAAGACTTTGAGTTGTTCCTTTGTTTTTTTTTACCCATCACCATTTCCATTTAAATGTCACTTTTTTCCTGTATATTTGTTCAAAATAAAGTAGTTTTTGTTGTTTGGAATTTTAACTTCTTGTCTGTCCTTTTTTTCCCCAAGTATTGCTTAGATAATTCAAATTTAATTAGGCGCTTTATTAAAATGGTTTAAACTGGTCAAAGTGTTAATTGATCTGTTCGTGTAATCGAAACCTGTGTAATTAGTTTGTTATAACACCTATGTCTACTGACAGTGTCCCCAAACAGCCTATAGGGACCCTGTCAAATAAGTTACAGGTGGGCACAAAAGAGTCCCACCTGCAACTTATTAGACAGGGTCCCTGTAGGCTGTCTGTGGTCAGTCCATGGAGTGCTTAAAGGGACCCTGTCAAATAAGTTGCAGGTGGGACAGCACCCCACCTGCAACTTATTTGACGGGACCTCGGGGACCTCAAATAAGTTGCAGGTGGGACAGCATCCCACCTGCAACTTATTTGACAGGACCTCTTTAGGCTGTTTGTGGTCAATGCATTATTAGTTCATAATTCATGATTGTTAGTGGTTTATTACTAAAAACTTGCAGCACAGTGGACAGGGGAGACAATGCAACATGTTGGGGTACTTAGCATTTCACGACAATGCATAACTAGCCTTAAAATGACACGTCCACGGACAGCCTACAGGGACCCTGTCAAATAAGTTGCAGGTGGGACAGCATCCCACCTGCAACTTATTTGACGGGACCTCAGGGACCTAAAAATAAGTTTCAGGTGGGACAGCATCCCACCTGCAACTTATTTGACGGGACCTCTTTAGGCTGTTTGTGGTCAATCCATTATTAGTTCATAATTCATGATTGTTAGTGGTTTATTACTAAAAACTTGCAGCACAGTGGACAGGGCAGTCAATGCAACATGTTGGGGTACTTAGCATTTCACGACAATGCATAACTAGCCTTAAAATGACACGTCCACGGACAGCCTACAGGGACCCTGTCAAATAAGTTGCAGGTGGGCACAAGAGAGTCCCAGTGGGACTACATATTGTGCCCACCTGCAACTTATTTGACAGGGTCCCTGTAGGCTGTCTGTGGACAGTCCATTTTTAAGCTAATAGCACACAATCAATGGCTGTACTGTACATCAGTGTGTTGCATTGTGACGCCTGTGTGCAGTGGACCACTTCTAACCGCTGTATTTATTGGAATATTAGCTTTTAATGTGCTGTCCACGAACAGCCCATAGGGACCCTGTCAAATAAGTTGCAGGTGGGACAGCACCCCACCTGCAACTTATTTGACGGGACCTCTGGGACCTCAAATAAGTTGCAGGTGGGACAGCATCCCACCTGCAACTTATTTGACAGGACCTCTTTAGGCTGTTTGTGGTCAATGCATTATTAGTTCAAAATTCATGATTGTTAGTGGTTTATTACTAAAAACTTGCAGCACAGTGGACAGGGGAGACAATGCAACATGTTGGGGTACTTAGCATTTCACGACAATGCATAACTAGCCTTAAAATGACACGTCCACGGACAGCCTACAGGGACCCTGTCAAATAAGTTACCTGTGGGATGCTGTTTTCGACTTTGAGATTTTTCGCCCGGTGAATCCTGGTAAGGAATTGGGGATTTCATCACATATGGTGAAATGCCCGATTCCTGACCAGGATTCACCGGCTGAAAATGTCAAGGTCAGAAACAGCATCCCACCTGTCACTTATTAGACAGGGTCCCTCTAGGCTGTCTGTGGACAGCATGATCTTATGCAAATTATGCACAATTAATGGTCGTAATTTACACCAGTGTGTTGCGCTGTGTCCCCCGAGTCCTGTGCAGTAGGTTTGACCACAAGTGACCACTTCATGTGTGAAATATGACCTTTTAAAGCACTGTCCACAGACAGCCTACAGGGGCCACGTAGAATAAGTTGCAGGTGGGATGCCGTTTTTGACATTTTCATGATAAAATATGATAGAAATGATAAAATGATTAAAATCAATTTTATGTTAATCTATGGACCCCCCTGGGCGATTTGCAGGCTTCAGAACCCAGGAATTCCAATTGTCCACGAACGGCCTAAATTTTTGAATGGGATAAGTTGTACGTGTCAGTGGCTCCCGCACGGCCCCCGGGGGTCCGAGGGACCCCAAACTCGACAAAACGTTGCGTCACGTGGACCCCTGCGACATACCGAGACAGGCCGAGTTTATTTTTGGCTATTTTTTATGCACCTCTCTGTCTCCCATTGACTTCTATGGGAGCATGTGTCTGCCAGGGTCAATTCAGCAGTCAAGATTAGAGGGCCTACTGGGCTCAGGAAGCATCCAGAGCCACGAAACTCTGGGGCCCTATCCGGGGACCCGTGGCGGTCGTCCGTGCCGAGTTTCGAGGTTCTGCGACCTTTTGGCCCCTTTGGGCGATGGTTTGTTTGACGTCCCACGTGCAACTTATCGCATGGGGCTGTTGGTGGCCAATTAGCGCGAAGAAAGGTCGTAGGGTCGCGGAACTCTAGAACCCGGCCCCGGGGCCCGTGACGAGAGCCGCGTGTCAGTTTCGGGCCCGTCGGGCGTTTCTTTCCGACCGTTTTGCTGAAACACCAGCTTAGAACCGATCTAGAACCACCAAACTCGCGACCTGGAACCGGGTGCCCCCGGACCGCCGGCGTGCCGAATTTGGGGCCGCTGCGACCTTCGGACCCCTTTTGGCCCCAGTTTGTTTGACGTCCCACGTGCAACTTATCGCATGGGGCTGTTGGTGGCCAATTAGCGCGAAAAAAGGTCGTAGGGTCGCGCAACTCTAGAACCCATCCCAGGGGCCCGTGACGGCACGCGCACTTCGATTTCGGCCCGATCGGACCTTTCCTTCCCCCCCTCGGCGAGCACATGGTCCGATCGATGGCCGCCCTCCCTCACACACAGAAAGGCATATAGACAGAGTGAGCCAAAGGGAGGAGAATTTCGCACCGGAAAAACGCACGCTCGGGACCGATCTAGAACCCTGCGGTCCGGGATCTGGAACCCGGGGACCCTCGACTACCAGGGCGGCGGGTTTGGAGGCGGTGCGACCTTTCGACCCCTGCGTTTCGGCCCTCCCACGTGCAACTTATTCAGTTCAAACTTCATAGGCGCTTCCAGGCCAAGGGGGTGTTCTTCTCGGGAAAACGAGACGTTTCGGGCGCGGAACTCTAGAACCCGTCTCCGGGGCCCGCGACGAGACGCGCGCGCGAGTTTGGGGCAGATCGGGCGTTTCCTTCGAACCGCGTCGCTGAAACACGCGCTTAGAACCGACGTAGAACCACCAAACTCTCGATCTAGAACCGGGGGCCCCCGGGCTACCTCCGTGCCGAATTTGGGGCCGCTGCGACCTTCGGACCCCTTCCGGCCCCCGTTTGTTTGACGTCCCACGTGCAACTTATCGCATGGGGCAGTTGGTGGCCAATTAGCGCGAAAAAAGGTCAGAGGGCCGCGGAACTCTAGAACCCGTCCCGGGGGCCCGCGGCGGGACACATAAGTCGGTTTCGGAACGATCGGACCTTTCCGCCGCGCGTCCACCAAACGCCTGTGAAAATGAATGGGATAAGTTGGAAGTGTCAGTGGCCCCGGTTCGGCCCCCGGGGGTCCCTCGGGCCCCAAACACCGCGTGCCGGTTCCCCTCGGGCCCCCGAACGACATATCCGGAGGGCGCGCCTCTAGAACCCTGGGCTGTTTTTTTTCCCAACTCTGTTCAAGTTTCTCTCAAATGCCTCTTCCACTCATAGTGCCCTCATAGACTAACATGCCCCACTGAAGGGGGAAACTCAAAACGCGCTCCGAAGCGATCTAGAACCCCGCGACCCGGGATCTAGAACCGGGGGCCCCCGGGGTGCGGCCGTGTCGAGTTTGGGCTCGCTGCGACCTTTTGACCCCTTTGGGCGACTGTTTGTTTGACGTCCCACGTGCAACTTATCGCATGGGGCTGTTGGTGGCCAATTAGCGCGAAGAAAGGTCGTAGGGTCGCGGAACTCTAGAACCCGGCCCCGGGGCCCGTGACGAGAGCCGCGTGTCAGTTTCGGGCCCGTCGGGCGTTTCCTTCCGACCGTTTTGCTGAAACACGCGCTTAGAACCGATCTAGAACCACCGAACTCGCGATCTGGAACCGGGGGCCCCCGGTCCGCCGCCGTGCCGAATTTGGGGCCGCTGCGACCTTCGGACCCCTTTTGGCGCCAGTTTGTTTGACGTCCCACGTGCAACTTATCGCATGGGGCTGTTGGTGGCCAATTAGCGCCAAAAAAGGTCGTAGGGTCGCGCAACTCTAGAACCCGTCCCAGGGGCCCGTGACGGCACGCGCACTTCGATTTCGGGCCGATCGGACCTTTCCTTCCCCCCCTCGGCGAGCACATGGTCCGATCGATGGCCGCCCTCCCTCACACACAGAAAGGCATATAGACAGACTGAGCCAAAGGGAGGAGAATTTCGCAGCGAAAAAACGCACGCTCGGGACCGATCTAGAACCCTGCGGTCC